TATGCCAGCTGATCACTTGATGGTTTCCAGACCTGCTCAATGAACAATCTTACAATATACCAGCTGATCATTTGTTGGTTTCCAGAACTGATCACTGAACAATCTTACACAATACCAGCTGATCACTGGTTGGTTTCCAGACCGGATCACTGAGCAATACTACACTATACCAGCTAACCATTTGTTGGTTTCCAGAGCTGATCACTGAGCAATCTACACTATACCAGCTAACCATTTGTTGGTTTCCCCTTGTGTTAACAATAAGGACAATTTCCTTGAGTCTATATATGCAAATAAAATACTAGGCACTTCCTGAAAACATGGAAAGGATGAAAAACAGTAATGAACTTTAACTTTTCTTAAGTAATTTTTATATTTAATATTTGTGTTTAAGCCTTGCTATAGAAATAACACTTGTTGTAAAACAGAACAGATGGTGCCTATACCTTACCACTAAACAATCTTACGCAATAGCTACCAGCTGATCACTGGTTGGTTTCCAGACCGGATCACTGAGCAATCTTCCACTATACCAGCTGATCGCTAGTTGGTGTCTCGACCTGATCACTAAACAACCTTACACTATACCAGTATATATCAGTCAACATTATTGTTGAACAATACTCAAATCAACCCATTCAAACAAATAATTCAGAACGTAGCGGAAAATTAACACTGTTTTTGTTTCCCTGTATTTATCAATAGGTGTTTTTTAACATTCAGTCATAAAAACAGTCAAAAGAAACATTCAGACAGTTTTAAATTATCAGGCATATTTAATGCTAAAGCACTAGAGGTCACGGTCACTTCCTTGTGTTAACAATAAGGACAATTTCCTTGAGTCTATATATACAAATAAAATACTAGGCACTTCCTGAAAACATGGAAAGGATGAAAAACAGTAATGAACTTTAACTTTTCTTAAGTAATTTTTATATTTAATATTTGTGTTGAAGCCTTGCTATAGAAATAACACTTGTTGTAAAACAGAACAAATGGTGCCTATACCTTACCACTAAACAATCTTACCCTATCCCAGGTGATCACTTGGTGGTTTCCAGCCCCGATCAATGAACAATCTTACACTAAACCAGCTGACCATTTGTTGGTTTCCCGACCTGATCACTGAACAATATTACACTATACCAGCGGATCACTTGTTGGTTGCCATACCTGATCACTAAACGATCTTACACTATACCAGCTGATCACTTGTTGGTTTCCAGACCCGATCAATGAACAATCTTACACTATACCAGCTGACCATTTGTTGGTTTCCAGACCTGATCACCAAACAATCTTACACTATACCAGCTGATCATTTGTTGGTTTCCAGACCTGATCACTGAACAATCTTACACTATACCAGCTGATCACTTGTTGGTTTCCAGACCTGATCACTAAACAATCTTACACTATACCAGCTGATCACTTGTTGGTTTCCACACCTGATCACTGAGCAATCTTACACTACCAGCTGATCACTTGTTGGTTTCCAGACCTGATCACTGAGCAATCTTACACTATACAAGCTGATCACTTGTTGGTTTCCAGACCTGATCACTGAGCAATATTACACTATCCCAGCTGATCACTTGTTGGTTTCCACACCTGATCCTGATCACTTGTTGGTTTCCAGACCTGATCACTAAACATTCTTACACTATACCAGCTGATCACTTGTTGGTTTCCACACCTGATCACTGAGCAATCTTACACTACCAGCTGATCACTTGTACTTGTTGGTTTCCAGACCTGATCACTGAGCAATCTTACACTATACAAGCTGATCACTTGTTGGTTTCCAGACCTGATCACGAAACAATCTTACACTATACCACCTGATCACTTGTTGGTTTCCAGACCTGATCACTGAACAATATTACACTATACCAGCTGATCACTTGTTGGTTTCCAGACCCGATCAATGAACAATCTTACACTATACCAGCTGATCACTTGTTGGTTTCCAGTACTTTCCCTGATCCCCTAAATTAAAGACACTGCTTGCAACCTCCCCTCCCTTTATAGCGACAACACTACTCGCTCACCCTTTCAGAAATAACAGTTTCCCACTCTCAATCCTCCTGCTGAGCAGTAAAGGTGCTTGGTTCCCTTGCTCTTCTGTTCAACAATGAAATAACATTGCTGGCCTCCAATACAATTACTCCTCTTGTTAAACAAGACATTCTTGCCCACCTCCCATCCTTTCCTTTTGAGAGCAAGGATACTACTTGGGTCTATCTTTCCTGTTGATTAAGATTGTAGACACTGATTCCCCACNTTACTCCTCTTGCTTACCCCCCCCCCTCAGTCACTCCACAACAATAGGATTCATTACCACACAATTGGAGCAATAGAATCTTCAACTGCTGTGAGGGTACGGTTTATAATCTCAAACCAAAGGTTGACCTATCTGACGATGGCTTCAAGCTAAGGTGATCAAATGAGGGATAAACATTTACGTACCTTTTTCTTCCATCCATCAATAATACATTCGTAAACAATGATTTTCAGCATTTGTAAACTTTGCTTTTACTTTGATTTGCATGCACCCTCTTCCGTCGAAAGCTTCTCTGATGTTATCATATGATTTCTATCAACATGCAAATGCTTCCTGTCATATCCTATATAAGGGAGAGTTCACCCTTTCACCCCTATGTAACTTTAATAAACTCTACCATGCATTGATCTGGACAAGTCCATTATGGTATACAGTTGTGAAAGGGTTAACAGAGAAATCACACCCTAAGGGGTGACAGCTGAGATATCTTGAAAAAGGAAACGGGAGAAAATTCAGTGACTGATAGGAGAATCGAGATCATCTGTTCAAATTATGTTTCAGACAATTTTATAAAGAAGGTTATCAGGTATTATTTTATTGAAATACTCAAAGACTGTTTATGAATGTATATGTAAACCAAACAGTTGATTTCATTGAGACTCCCATTTTAGCTTTGCATTATTATTATTTTTTTACATTTTTTTCTTTTCTTTTTTAATACTTTTAAAAATTCTGACAGAGGCAAGCTGAGAAGATAGGAGTGTTAACAAGCTATCAGCAGGAAACACATGTTTCTCTGATTATAGCCGAGGGGGAACTTAAACACGCATAGCTGATAAATTCTCAAACCACTAGGCCACTTTAAACTTGCTCTAGATCATGCAATATTTTGCTAATTTCACTGGATGATAGATTTAGTGTGTCTGCAACATAAACTATATGTCTAATCAGTTTCTTAAGACTTTATACAAGAAATGCTTGAAGTTTTGAAATGTGTTGTTAATCTATAAATGAAAGACAGTTGGATTTGCAGTGCACACACACATACTGTATTCACCATAATTAGCACTCCTCCCCAATTTTACGGGAGAAATTGAAACAATATAAACCTCCCTCCCAGGCCTGATCAATGACTAATAGTACTTACAATTAATATTCAAAGCAGAGATTTACGTCTCGTGAAAACGGCTGGACTTTCCGCGAAATGGATGAATAGAATGTGTTCAATAGTTCAAGTCAAAGTGGAATGTATATAATGTCCAACTCCTTCATTGATAACAATTGGTTGAAGAGACAGTCTGTCTCAACCTTATTCTCGCATTTTATTATCTTAATAAACGCCCCTGTTTAAGATAAAAGAATATCTTAATAAACGCCCCTGTTTAAGATAAAAGATTATCTTAATAAACGCCCCTGTTTACGATAAATTATTATCTTAATAAACGCCCCTGTTTACGATAAAAGATTATCTTAATATACGCTCCTGTTTACGATAAAAGATTATCTTAATAAACGCTCCTGTTTAAGATAAAAGATTATCTTAAAAAACGCCCCTGTTAAAGATAAAAGATTTAAGTGTCCTGGGCGCTAATAATGGCGAATACGGTACACCTTGTATATATATACAACCCACTGAGAATTTGTTATACGTTCTACATCTGTACAAATTTTTGTTGAACAACAGAACCTGACAAAGAATGTTAATTAGCCTGTTTTACATCTCAGTATGCCATAATGTATATTCCAGCACTAATGACCGGGACATACTTTATATAAGTATATTTCTGTACAGGACTACGGTTGGTAGCAACATACATAGCCTGTAATATACAGCTGACTATGTACATCAGGTGTAGTACAGGTGGGAAGGATCTGCGTACTGTAGGTAGTAAAATACACGGCCCTTTAAATTGATAACTGACCCGATCAGGTGAAACACAGTTGGGAAATCAAAAGATCCCTGTATATGTAGGTAGTAAAATTATGGCCCTTTATGTTATCTTACTGACTTGATCAGGTGAAACACAGGTGGGAATTAATTACATAGACCTTGTAGGTAGTAAATATAAATATGGCCCTTTATAACTGACCTGATCAGGTGAAACACAGGTGGGACGGCGGACCTATAAGCTACAATAGGCAGTGATGACGTGGACCCCTTTTAGGTGACCCCTTTTAGGTGACCCCTTAAGCTTGTTCAGTGTAACACAGCCAACTTAATCAGTAATGGCCCTGTTAACCGACCTATCAGGCCTATAGGTGTAACACACTTTGGAAGGGCCTACTGTTTGTATATATATATATTAATGGCCCCTTAATTATAACAAACTTCATCAGGTGTAACAAAAATGGCAGAGGTAGACACTACGATATATACAGATAAGGTCTTGTATACATGTGATATTGATATTCTACATATCTTATTTATGGCGAAAACTTCGTTCTTGTCTTATGAAATGGAAAAATGGAGTGGGTTCCATGTGGGGGGATATAGAGGGAAATGGTGAAAATACACGATTTTTAAAGAAAATTCTCAGGGTAGGGGTGGGGGGGGGGGGTTCTTGAACCCAAAACGCGCCTCTGGATCCATCACTGTAATCCCATCACACCAAAATTGCAGAAAGGACATTGGCAGGATCCATTCAGCTATTATAAACTTTTAGTTTATGAACGGCTGGGGAGTAAAGAGGGGAGTAAAGGGAGATAGTTCAAGTACCTGTTGTGATGTTGTTACTGCTGTTGTGTTGGGCCTCTGCTGGTAGACTGCTGTTACAGTGTTCTGAAAATAAAAGAAAAAAAGTTATGACTCACGTGAATCTCATAATAGGCAACATTATCGACTTTTAGTGTATAAATATACACACAGATCTGAAGTATTATCATGTCAATATTACACAGTAATATATAGTCATGCTTTCGTCGGAGGTCTCATTCACTTTACCAACATCTTGACTTATATTTTACGTACATTCATTGATAAGGAGAAATAAAATCCATCCACAATTTTTGTAAACTTAATATGAGTTACATCATAGACTAGGTTATAATCATCCTCCATCCTCCCCCCATATCTCCATCAATCAATCTATCATTTACAATATCTAATAATAATTATATATAACTACACTGGGAAATGTTCAGCCCAGTCAAACTTTCGCCCTTAGACAGAATATTCCATATACACCCAGTGTTAATTCCATCCTTCCCATTTAATTACTATGCATATTACATATATTTTGCTTACGAATATTCTTTTAAATGAAATTCGTCCTCATAGGTGATGGCGAAAAAGGCAAAAGTTAAATTTGGCGAATATTTCCTGGTATACAGTTTATATATATATATACTGGTTTGCATATGCAGTGTTTTATATGTACCTAAATTATGCAACAGCCTGTTCCTTTATGAATTGGGAAAATGTAACATTTTTTTTTAAGGAAATTGGGAAGATATTCTGGATTTTTCTTCATTTAGGGTAAATATAGAACTTTTTGGCTACGGGAAGCAGCCTTTATTCGACTGTAAAAGTGGGCAAAAACCCCCACCGATATGACAAAAAAAATACCCAACAGAATTTGGATTTAGCAGTTAAAGAATGCAATAGATTTTTTATGTTTATCTAAAAATCATCTTATCGCAAATGTGTATAACAATCTTCAAGTGTTGGGAATGGCCATGTTGTTGTTGTTGTTATTGTTGTATTTGTAGCTGTCACTCCTTACAGCAAAATGTAACCGCTCAAAGTAAATGTCCCTAATAATCAACCTAGGACTATATTGCTGGGACAGAAGTTATACACATCTTTTTATATGTATTTCAGGGCTTACGTGTGTAGAAAGTACAGCAAGAATAATATTTATAATCAACCCAGTGTTATTTGTACGGAGATGGAATTCGAAACAATCACTTCGCAAGTACACTATAATACATTAGTACATGCATGTAAACATACAGGTATACAAAATGTACGTATAGTACATCAGCTATTCAATCAGCAGTTGATCACAATAATTTATTTTGTGGTTTATATAAATATACATATAAACTAATTGGCTGGCATGGGTGATCCTACGATTTGATTTCAATTTTTTTTTTTTATATTATTAGCCAATACAACAATCTGATTAAAATCATCTGTAACATGGCTCTGTAACTTCGTACTTCGTTCAGGCGTAGTACAAAGTTACTAGAGCCATGTAACAGATGATTTTAATCAGATTAGCAATTCTGTACAAAAAAGTATATTTATATCTTGATATTGTATAAATTTTGGGTTAAATGTCCAGAAAAAACTAAGGTAGCTAAAAAAAGACATGTTTGTAGGAGTATGTAGACAATGCATATTTGTGGTAAATATTTGTATATATATACATATGTACAGTGTATATATACTTGTTTACCTGCTCATGATCAAGAATACCTGTACAGGTAAATCTAAACTGTGTTGTTGTTACTCAATCTGTTATAAGAGATATACAAGGAATGCATTTCTGTGGGATATGTACATGTGGTTCTAGAATGTCAATGTTTCTGTAAAAAATGAAAAATGCATTAACGAAATACCGATGCACCTGCTAAATATATGTAAACAAGTGCATTGCAATTAACCACATTACACATAAACTGTCGGTAATAAATATGTCTGAGATAGGCTTACATCTTTATGGGTCGCAGAAAAGGTTACATTAGATCTCTCCGCAGGTTAATTAGATCAATCAGGGACATGCACGCATTACGCATTAATAAGTAAATACACATCTCCGAGTCATAAACCATGGTAATTAATTCGCAATATTACTTATGTCAGTTTCCCAGACATTTAACATGTCTCCTATATCTTATCTACTGACAATCCCGATATAAGGATAGCCTTACATCGTCCATAGGAAATATGTCAAAATAAGTACCAGGATTTATGTGAAAGCTTTTGATTTTTATGAAACGGTCTTGTAATTTTTTACGAACGGGTCTTGTGACTTTGTGTGATATATTTATATGAGCGTAAACGCCTGCATTACCAGTATTTGCATATAACGTACATTAACATTGCATGTTTTAATACACAAAACACATTATCCATATCCTATATCTAGAACCAACATGTCAGACGACGAATGTGTTTTGTGGAAACCTGACCTGTGATTTTAAGTTTGGAGTTAAGCAAGCTGATAGCTTTATATTATAAAGGCAGGCAAGAAAAAATATCATTCTACATTTTACAAAATGTTTAGCTTTTACTGGTTTTTAATAAAATCTTGAAGATCAGACTTTTTTATTCTGAATTAAAGTACTGTATGAGTTTAATATTTGGCACAGAAAAATAGGATAAAAGCTTTCTGACCTGCCGACCCGTATTTATTTCAGCGTAGGACAGTAAACACTACTTTTCTGCTAGACCCAATCAATATTTTATTTTAGTTCTTCTAAACATCAATACAAACAGTGTACCTAATTGTACTACATTTATATATGAGAAACAGACTAATCACATGTAATTAAGTTTACAGTAATTACCCTAACAAGCATATTGACAGAGATCTATTATACTTAACAGGGGAAATCTTTGAGGCAGTCACAGGGCTGGAAACTGAAACCAACTTCTCCTATTTCCAATATTCTGTTTATTGTACAAAGAATAGCTCTTCTTATATCTTAAATTGTAGAAATATTTTGGCCCAAGTTCTCTTCTCCAAGGATAAACATGCATATGGCACCTGTGTATACATATAAATATATCGAAAATACATACTCTTGCTAGCTAATGAGTACCTTGAACAGGTACCTTGCAGAAAAGGCAGTATCTTTTTACATAGAAATAGCCAACTTTTGCACGTGTATACATGTATGTACAAGAAATGATGATCAACAAAAGAGGTCTTTTGAAGTATTTTGTGCTTCCAAACCCAGCACATCTGACAAAGTGTACATAAAACTGATACATTCTACAGATATACACAGGATACAGAAGTATCCCGAGAAATGCCTTTCATCTCAAAATACACAGCCGACCTACTTTAGGGTTTGGCAATACAAACAGACCACTACTGAATTGTGTGTGCCAAACCATTCATGATGATACATTTGTATGTACATAAATAAATATTGCTTGGTTATCAGTTAGATATGAAATGAGCCGCTATCCTGTCGAGGTATTAGTCACAAGGCAAATTTGACAGCAATTTCCTATAAAGACAATATATCTGTATCAAGACGGCATTTTCCTATATCCATACAATTTTTTTTCTACCCAGACGGCGTTTTCCTACCATGCATAGTTCCCCAAATATCTTGACAGCATACCCCACTTACTATAAAAAGCACCCTCCCTTCTTTTCTGGGCTCGTTTATGAAACAATTTGATTGGTATCACTGCAGTTGTTTTCATATTCATGATACAATGTTTATTAATTAACACAGCTCTCAAAAGATCCAGTTTCATATATAAATTGTCAATATTCCAACAAACCCACATTGGACGAGGAACCAGTAATCTTTTGACTTAAAATATTGGGTTGGGGTGATCAGGGTTGCCAAATCTCATGGCGCGAGACAAAATCTCACGCTTAGACGTCCTTACTCACACTGAAACGGGTACCACGCCACGTGAGCCATAAATCTCACGCTTTCAAAAATATTCTCCCTCCATCCCACGCGAAGCCATATATCGTCAATTTTTTGCTGGGACCGTACAAAGGGGAACAACTCCTATTGCAATGTTGTGCTTTGGAAGTGAGCTGACGCGAGGTGTTGCTTTACATCCGATGGAAACGAATGTAAATATATCGTAAGGCGAGTTGTTTTCACTCGTTAACTTAATATTGAACATACCTATCATGTGAAAGGAAGGTTCTACTAATAATGTCGTCCTGTATTAGGAAAGATTGTTGTCGGGGCGTACGTGCAGCCTTCACAAATATTAAGAGGAAACGATTCTTGAAACATGAACAGACGAATGGCTGATGAAGATAAGTTTGAAGTTATTTTCGCAGTATTAAGTATAGTGGCGTATATGATCAGGAAGTAACACACCAAAGACTTGTAGGACTAAATGATGATGGAATTACAGTACAATGAAACAGCAATTGTCGTCATTTAATCTACTTAACTGTAATAAACATGGATGGGCTTATTAACAGGCATTGGTTTTATTGGAGGATAAATATGATTACTTTATTTTAAGCTGGCCATGGTCAAGTCATTTTTATTCGTATAAAAGTCACACCGCATTTTTAGTTTTAGATTTGTTCATGGACATTTACAAGAAAGGGCTGTTTATATTATCAACCTAGATACATGTATATCCTGATAGCAACAAACACTTCAGATATCTCCTATAGGTTCAACTTTACGAATTCTGTATATTTTATATTTTCAGATGAACCAGGGATGGTGCGTTGAGATTGATATTTATTTACTTTCAAATAGTTTGACGCACTTAACCCAAGTACATTCAGTATAATCATTTTAAGACGTCGCAATTTCTAGTTGTCAACAATATGTGTACTTTAAATTTGTTTCCGACGTCTTTACTTTTGACGTATTAAGTATCACATGTACCCTATTTATGACATAGGCCTGAGGAGCCCCTAGATGGGCGAAAGCGCTAGCGAATTGCAGTCTTTGTGGGGTTTTTTTTTATATATATTTTTACCTTCACATGGACATTTAAAACTCCTCACCGCTATATATAACTATATCTACATCATGTAGAATGAACTTGTAAGTAAGTATCATCATGCAGGTCTCTACGTTAGAATATTAAAGTTTCAATCCTTACGC